TTGATTGACAGTAGTGTTTCAGCACAGACTGGACTGGTGTCTTACCTTAGACCCACCCTGAGTGAGCTGTCATCAGTCCGCCATTGTGTTGACTCTGGTGCAGGGAAAGACAAGATGTCTCCGATTAAGCGATTGAGGAGCTTTATTGTTGGATGTAATAATGAATATAGCAATCGTCATTTACTCCTGACATCTGAGGATTAACGTTACTTTCGCTTTAAAGTGAATGCGCCACTCCCCATCAGCCTAAATGCATCTATGTTCGCTCGAAACATTCGTGATCCAGCCTCATCTACAGAAGAAGTGAGTATAAGGGTTTTTTATGAATCTTTGCAAATGGCCTTTCCTAATAATTTGCTAATGAGCAAGTTTCACGATGAATGCGGCTAAAGTAAACAGTCTCACTGAGAGCAGCTGGGAAGAGAGGGGCGGGGCCAGCAGAGCTCATTAACATTTAAAGCAACATGGACTATAATGGCTTGATAAAAACAGAGCTGATTTTGACAGGTTTAAAAATGTGTTTTTTACACTAACATTGAGAAATTTTAACCAATGTATGTTATAGACTTTTAATTAAGACCCTAAAGAATCATATCAAGTTGTGCAAAATGAGCATTCGATGACTCCTTTAAAGGGGCAGAGACCTATAAATATACCTGCTGTTTAAGCGCCACCTGCTGTCAGAGAGTGACATTTGCATCTCATTCAGCCCGTCTGCTGTTTTTGTTTCATTCAGATTTTTTATGTAGTATCACAAAGCAAAGTCAGACCATTTTGTTTTTGTTTCAAATTAAAAAATTGTACAATCTAAATAACATGTATGCAGCATTTTTGTTTGAATCGTGATTAAAATACACAGGCAAAACCTTAGTTTACTTGCATGGAGAAATTTATTTTATTTGTATTTATTTATTTGATTTAGGATTTGTTTTAAAATGTCAAGTTAGTGTATTGTTTGACATTTTCAATTTCACAAAGTAATGTGCAGCCTTTTGGTCTGAGAAATAACAAAAGGACATCTTTTTACAATCTGTCTTAAATCTAATTTTATTAAAAAAGAAATTGTGAGAAAATTGTATTGTGAAATCAGTATCGTGAATCATATCACATCGTGAGTTGAGTGAATCGTTACATCCCTATATGCTACTAGTTTTTGCTGTGGTATCGAAGTAGTAAATTGTTATTTAAATAATAAGTGTTACTTAAATAATAAAGAACCATATTTTTTTTGCTCATCTGAAAAATTATCCGATCTGTGACTCAAAATGTGATATGATAATGTAATATAATCCGAACCGTGAGATTTGTGATCCGTTGCACCCCTACTCTCTTGACTTGTTATTTGAAGAAAAAATACAATATCTTTTATTCGGGCTAGTTAAAATAATTTTTGGGCTACCAAAATCTGAAGAATGCCTCTTGCATGGAGAAATTTATTTTATTTGTATTTATTTATTTGATTTAGGATTTGTTTTAAAATGTCAAGTTAGTGTATTGTTTGACATTTTCAATTTCACAAAGTAATGTGCAGCCTTTTGGTCTGAGAAATAACAAAAGGACATCTTTATACAATCTGTCTTAACTACAGTATGATAATAATTGAATATGTGAGCTTGGTCAGTGTAGTCAACAACACCACAGTTAGTGTAAAATTTGAGAAAAATTAAGAGACTATTTACGGTTTGCTGTAGAATGGGTCCAAATGAAGTCACAATTTGAAAGATTTTTTTTTAAGTGGGTGAAAGTCATGCAATAAGAGGGTTGCACCCAAAACAGCAGAATATTATATAATATAATTGGCAACTCTTTTTAAAAATTCTTTAATAAAATAAATAGACATTTGAATTTTTTATCATTAAAAACTACCTACTTTATATGTATGTATGTATGTATGTATGTAATTGAAAATTGTAAAAAGAACATTTGTTATAGGTTAAAAATATATAAGAGTGTGTACACTAATATTAGTGCTGTCAAACGATTAATCACGATTAATCGCATCCAAAATAATATAATATACACCCTGTGTATATTTTTTATGTATATAGAAATACACACACATACAGTATATATTTTGAAAATATGTCCATGTATATATTTATATTAATATAATTAATATTATATATAAAAATTGTAAATGTTTAAACATAACATGTTTCTTATGTGATGTGATTAATCGCGATTAATCGGTTGACATCACTAAT